CAGTCGCAAAGCACACACTCTTTTTGGAATTTCCCTTATGTGTATGACCCATCACTGGGGCTCACACTACAGAAGACTCAATTTCTCTGTACAAATTCCTTCTAAACACATCCAGCATCCTTGTTAACTCCAAAATGGCTACTGTTCTGGAAATCTTTCCTCCCAGATCAAATAGCAGGGAATGGTCTGGATTGTTGTTGTACTGTAATGAAATTAGACTGAAGTGAATATAGCTTAAAATATGCATTCTGAGCGATGTGGAACTGTTTTTCATATTGCTGGCACAGTGGGAGTGAAGTGAAAATGTGATAATGTATGGGGGATGCTCTGAAAATTGTGAAGAGCGACGCAAATGTGAAGTAGATATTTTCCCCCCAAATTGCCAAGAAGCGTTTCCTTTCTGAGGCCAGGCCTTGGCGAATGCCAAGCACACGCGATTTGAGATGAGGACTACGGCAGTGATTCTTTGCTTTCTTGCCTCTCACTGCATCCTCTGCCAAGGCCAGAATAGTTAGGAGACGCTTGGCCAGCTGCTGGAAGCAAGTTGAGGACTCTGCTTAGAAAGATGACATCACCCCTCAGACTCAGTTTTCTCTCCAGGATGACGTCGTCACAGAGTTGTGATGGAGATGAAATGAAATTTGGTAGGGCAAAGTGCATAAGCGCTGGGGCCATCATAGTAAGTGCTCAACAAATGGGAACTGTTTTTGACCTTTTTTTTTTTGAGACTAAGTCTTGCTCTTGTCCCCCAGGCCAGAGTGCAATGGCATGATCTCGGCTCACTGCAATCTCTGCCTCCCGGGTTCAAGCCATTCTCCTGCCTCGGCCCCCCAAGTAGCTCGGATTACAGGTGCCTGCCACCACGCCCGGCTAACTTTTGTATTTTTTTTAGTTGAGACGGGGTTTCACCATGTTGGCCAGGCTGGTCTCGAGCTCCTGACCTCAGGTGATCCACCCGCCTCTGCCTCTTAAAAGTGCTGGGATTACAGGCGTGAGCCACCACGCCCCGCCAATTGTTGGTCTTATAACCCTCCTCTCACTACTGACAGGGTAGGAAGGGGCCTCTCAGTCCCAGTCACTGGCCCTGGGCCTCAGCTCAGGCCGAAGACTTCCAAGTGGCGGGAAACAGTATTTCTGGGTTGCTGGGAGAGTAGACCGGTCCTAATGCCGCTGTAATCATTAAAAGGGCAATGCAGATGGGCGGCCCGTCAGGGGCTTGAAAACCCATTGCCCTTTTAAGGGGCGTGGCTTCTGGGAAGTGCGTAAAGACCCTCCAGGCAGGGGCGGGACCAGAGGGCTACGCACGCCAAAGAACAGGGGATATGCAAATATCTATGAATATGCTAATGAGCGTTCGGTTTCCCAGTGAATGATCGGGCACCGCCTGGACTGGCAGAGCGGACTAGGGAAGAGGAAATGAGAGGACCTTGAGATTCAACCGAGTGGCTGAATGGAAACTAACTCCCGATGGAGAATGTGCGACGTTTCTTCCACAGCACCCGGATCTCGAAGCCCCACTGGCACCACCCATCAGTCCCTCCAGTTCCTCACTAGCGGGATGAAGGGGGAGGGCGTGGGAGATTCTTTTGGCTGCGGTAAGGAGCTCTGAATTTAGAAGCCAGAAGTTTCTTGCCAGCAGTACTACCTTATTTCACAGTTGGGGAAACTGAGGCCTGACAGGTTAAGCCCCTTCTCCAAGGTCGCAGTGCTAGAAGCAGAACTCAGTTTGGCAGGTTTTGTCTATTTTTGCTTTGTTTTCCCTACTGCACATGGGCACCACTCTGGAGGTGAAAAGGCAGCAGCCTCAAAGGCAGAAGAGCTTGGTACATTACCAAACGTGTTGGACTGCCCACCAGGCTGGAGGTTTTAGAAAATATGTCCTAGGGAAAGATGGAAGGAGTCGGGGTGGCCGCCAGTAGAAGCAAGCAAGGACAAATTACCATAGACTTGTCTGGAATGTGTTGCTATAAAAAAGGTGATGAAGTGTTCCAGCTTCCCAGAGATCCGGTGCAGTGGAAATGAACAGGGAACAGAAGAGATTAGGGTTAGATTTAAGGCAGTACTTTCTCCCAGGGATGATAATGGGGCCCTTTATTCAGTGACCAAGGCAGGCAAGGGACTGATCCCCCTCCCACTTCTGAGGCCTTTGGGAATCCATCTCCCTCCAGTCTCACATGGCCTGCTTGGAGGTCAGGAACGAATTAAATGACTTTGAAAAGTCCCCACTATTCAGGTAGGTGATCCTTTCCCTGGATGGGCCTCCTGGGCTCTTTGCTGAGGGTAAGGACAGCAGCCGCTCTGGCTCCAGGGCCCTGGGGGAGAAACAGCAGTCATGGCATCTCTTGCAACACGCTCCCTGCCAAATTGATTCAAATTGGCTTGGATATGAACATATGATTAAAGGAGCGGTGCGATTCATTTATCAGGAGAGATTAAAGAGCAGCATCTGCGCAGCCTAGCTGGGGGACAATTAAGGAGCAAATCGCTAAGTGTCTGTGCCACCAGGCAAGGGGGTGGAGGATGGGGGAAGGACAACTGGGATAATCTGCCAAGGAGACACAAAGACAAAAGAAGACCATTTAGGGGTCACTGCCTGCCACTGTTGTTTCTGGGCACAGACTGGGCACCATGGGGAGTCCCACAGGGGCACTGGTTCCCGCCCCTGCCTCTCATTCAGGAGTCAGAGCAATCCCGGGGATCTGCAGTTATAGAGGAGGATCTAGCAGGCTAGCTTTGAGCCTGGCAAAGGGCCAGATTTGCATTTTGCAACATCTTAAGGACCAGGGATACCATGAACATACAGGTAAGGTCAACAGCAGAGCTTTCAAGGTACACCCAAAATAAACATTGGCTTTGGTGGCCCTAAAGGCTCCTGGACTCCTCTGGGGCCAAGGGAATTGTCTCCTTCTCAGCTGAAACTTGGAGAAGCACTGGTCATGTGACAATGCACAGCCAGCCTGTGGCATGTTCTACCACCACCTCTCTTTCCCTGCCCCAGGACCTTTGCTTAAACTCTTCTTCTTCTCAATATGCCTTTCCCAGCAACTCTACCTGTGGAAGTGCTATTTTCAAGTCCCTATCAAAATAGCAGCTCCTTTTAGAGGCTTTCCCAATCCTCCCTGCCAGAGAGAGTATCTCCCTCCATAATAAGTCCAAAGCAACTTCTTTGTCCTTGTTAGGCCTTATGTAATTATTTCCACATGGGTCTGCTCCAGCCCTCATCCACAAATCCCTGGAGGATGGATACTATGATGTGTTCCTCTCTACCTACTCCAAGCTTACACATACTAGCAGGCGCAGCATGTATTTTGTGTCTACCTCCCTCCACTTTATGAAGGAAGGGACCTTACCCATCACCAGCACCCAAAATAGGGCCTAGGCACAGCAGGCAGTCATGAAATATTTCTCAACTGTTAAGCAAATGAATATGTCTTCTGACTTGAACAAAGCTTTTTACCCCAGGCCGCGTTATTGGAGGTTGATATTGGAGCTTCCAGTTAACCAGAGGCTTGACTCAGTATGAGCGAACAGATTTGGGCATTCATCTAAAGGTGGCAGGGAGTTTGTCACACTAGTTCCTAGTAGAAACAGAAAATGTACCACGCTATGTGAAAACAGGAATAAAAGATGAGAGTGACAGAACTGAACATAAGCTAGCAGCCTTTTTAAAATTATTTTTTTGTAAAAAAAAAAAAAGTAACTTAGGCCGGGCACAGTGGCTCACGCCTGTAATCCTAGCACTTTGGGAGGCGAGGCAGGCAGATCACCTGAGGTCAGGAGTTCGAGACCAGCCTGCCCAACATGGTGAAACCCCGTCTCTATTAAAAATACAAAAATTAGCCAGGCGTGGTGGTACACGTCTGTTAAGTCCCAGCTACTCGGGGGGCTGAGGCAGGAGAATCGCTTGAACCTCGGAAGGTGGAGGTTGCAGTGAGCTGAGATCGTGCCACTATACTCCAGCTTGGGCGACATAGCAAGACTCTGTCTCCAGAAGAAAAAAAAGTAACTTCCCTTTTACTATTGTCTCTATCCTCTTCTCTATTCTATCGTGGGGCAGTGGAGGGGGCAGTCTCCGTTCGAGACGGATCCACTTCACACTCTGTCCCATTCATTTTGGGGGAGACTTTTCTCCCTTCTTCCCTTTTGGACTCTTTCTGGAGGGCTGACATTACCAGAGCCTCGGCACTTGGGATGTTTGCTATCTTTTCCCACCGATCTGTCCCAAACTACTTTATTCATTCAGGGATTATAACTGGCCACATTACAGAATGAGAAGGTAGAAGGTAGAAGAGGAGGAGGGGTGTCGTTTGTTTCTTGCCTTTCTGCATGAGTTGCCTCTTAGCTGTCAATGAAGGCACAAAGCACGGAGAGGGGCATGAAGATAGGAACCGAGCAGGGCAGAGACAGCACCCCCAACCTACTCACGTTGCCCTGTGGGCCTGAGCTAGTTCTGCCAAGTTTTGATCAAAAAGTCACCTTTGAAATGGCTAAAATTAAGCTTTTAAAAAATGTTCTAATGAGAAGGGCTTGAATCCAAAAAGAAAGAAAAAGAATGAATGAACGAATGAAAGCGAGAGAAAGAAAAGAAAGAAAAAAAAAGAAAGAAGGAGAGAGAGAGAGGAAGAGAAGATAGAATCTCTGTAATTGGTGAGATTTAACAATCAGAGGGATCTCAACATTCCCTTGTGGAGGCCAGGGAGGATGAGGCTTGGAGGCTCTGCTACCCTTGCTAACCTGAATCACAGTCCCTAGGCTCTTCACATAAAAGGTGGGGCTTGTGTCTTCCTTGGCCAATCCTCTCATCCCACTACCTCTCCCTGCCCCAAAATGAGCTGCCCAAGCTCTTTAACTGGCACTGGTCTGACACTTTGGGGAGCAGGCCAGAGACCAGAGTGACGCCCTCACAGTCCCCATCAGAATCCCACCTCTGCCCACTCGCCCCCAGGACCAATCTGGACTTTACCTGAGCCTGAAGGAGCAGGCAGGAAAACTGGCGAAGCCAGGAGGAAAAGGGCCTTTATTTCCATACATCAGGTAAACAGGGGAGAGCACAGCCCAGTGAGTACAAACCAATTGCAGGAGAGAAGAGGGGTGGCAGATGGGAGCAGCACCAGGCACTGCCCTTGGGCTCCCAAGTCTGGTGGAGTTGTTAGGGATAACCTTTTTAGGGTGGGGGCTGGGACCTCCAGACCACATGGTGTTGTGTCTGGGGTAAGTGTGTGGGGGCAGGGAGGTTGGAAGAAGAAGAATGACATGGGCTCAGGACACAGAGTGAGGACTCATGTCTAATGGCCAAAACTTCCATCTTCAGTTTTTCTGATGACAAGCCCTCAACCCCAAGTCTTCCCTCTCAAGTTGAGTTTATGGTCCAGGCTACCTGGACAGAGCAGGAGGGAGGCAGTGCTTGGATCAGCCCTGAACTGCTGTAGTTGGAATGGGTTTATCTTAAATAGGTCATTGCACATAACACGCTGAGACAAAGAGGGTGGGGTGGGGGCCGGAGGTGTGGATGGTCCACACGCACACTTGTCTGTATAGGCTTGCTCAACCCAGCCCAGCAGTACTGGAGAGCCCCTCCCGAACTCATTCGTAAGAACCAAGACCCAGCTCTGCTCACCAATGTCTCCAGCTGCACAGAGAAAGGACTGCTCTCTCAAGGGTGAAGATGGAGATGACATTCCCGAGTCATTCTTGGGAGCCCCAGCTACCCCTGCAGCCCCCTCCCACTCTCAGGGATGCAGCTGTGATGGAGAGGTTGGGTATTTAAATTAAAAAGTAGAAAGACAGCAGGCACCAGGAAGAGAGCCCCCACCCCACACGAGAGGGAAGGCATTGCTGCTCCTCCCCCAATCCTCCCCATGGACCCAGCAACCTAGAGTGTCCCAGTAGGCAACCTGTCCACCGTCCCTGAGCAGGGAGCTGAGAGGGAGGTCAATGTGCTGGCGCCATGCAGTGCCAGGCCACCTGCCATTGTCCACAGTGGCCCAGGGTAGAAGCCAAGAATCTGGCATTTTGAGGCAGAGAGGAGCAAAAAGTTCTCTTCAGAAACTCCTCTTTCCCCCACCTCTTCCACGTGGACATCAGACACCCATAGCCTGGAACGTCCCCCTGACAGAAGGAGGTCAGGGTGTTTCCCATGCAGATCAGCAGTCGGGTGGGGGAGACCGGCGCCCCACCACTTCCTGGGAGTGGTGCCCAGGCAGCCATAGGCCGTGGGGTGAAAGGGCTGCGAACTACTCCCCTGGGCTATTTGTTAGTCTCCGTCAGCTTGGCCTCTGTGTCGCTGTCACTCAGATAGCTGTGGGAGTATCGGGGTCTGGAGGTGTTGTCGAGAGGGTCGTGCTCATCATCTGACCGGTCAGGGGCAAGGGACTTCCAGTAGCTGGTGGGGCTGCAGGGACAGAGGAATAAGGTTAGGGACAATGACACTCCTCCATTAAGCACTCACGCCTTTGGTTCTGGAGGCCCACAAAGCTGCGTCAGAGCACTCCCCAAAAGCCAAACATTGTGAAGTAAAAACCTTCCTTGGCTTACTTGGAAGATACTCAAAGCGGTAAGAGGAAGGCGACTCTGGAAGCTTTTAAAGCTCCGAGGAAAGGGATGCTGAGAGCAGTGAGTCTCGGACTCAAGCGTGCATAAGAATCTGATGCAGGCTCCTGGGCCTTTCCTCTTAGAAACCTTGAATCGCTGGCTCCTGGGTACAACCCAGGAATTCTGCATTTTCAGTCCTTCCCCAGAAGGCTCTGAAGCAGGCAGTCCATGAACCACATTGGCCTGGAGACTGGAGGTCTGGTGATTACAACTTGTCTAGGGTAGGGACTCTCTTAGGCGAGTAATTCCTAAAAAGATTCCTTCTGAGAAGGAGGCCCTTTCCCCGTCAAATACTCCCGGATCTGAACCCTTTCCCCTGAGGCCTGTGAGGATTTTTACCTTTGACCATGCCATCATCTACAAACAAGAAATGGAGGCTCAGGAAAGAGAGGCTGGGAAGACCTGTTTTAGGGTGGCCCAAGGGGAAAAGCCCCTTTCTTGGTACAATAATATAACTCAGAGTCTTCATCAGGCCACTGGCTCTGGAGGCCTCCAGCTATCCCGGATGTGAAGAGGCCTCTTCCCCCGGATGGAGCAGGATCATGGCACTGAACAGGGAAGAGGGGACCTCATCTCACAGCTCCATTCACCTTCTCTTTTCTCCCAAAGCCTTGGGACCACCTTTCCCTACTCCTCCTGCCTCCACTGCCTCTGTCGGTTCAAGTGCACTCTCGTTTCAACACCACTGGAGAAAACACAGCCCAGTGTGGCTCCTCTCCTACTGGTGCCCCACACTGAGCGTGGTCCCTGGAGCTGCAGCCCTGCCTCCAGATCCTAGGGTTCCAACTTGGGCAAGCAGGAGTTCCATGTTCCCTGCTGCCTATAATTCTGACTTAAGAAGTGAAAAGGCCCTTTGTTTACTAGCCCTTTTAAAGTTCTAACCCCAAACCAAAAGAGGAGTCGTCAAGGTTCTGCAGAAAGAACCTTCTTCTTAGCTTTTCCCAAGGTGGCAGTGAGAGATGCAGAGGGCAAGATTTGGTCACTGAGCACTCCTCTGTGTAAGACACAGCCTAGGCATGTGAGATGGGCTATCTTATTGTTCACAATAACCCTATGAAATATTACGAGGAAGCCAGTAAAAAAAGATGAAAGGATCTTCCTCAAGGCCACACAGCCAGTATGTGAACTTGAATCTGGGACTCTTAGACCTCAAAGACTTTGGACGACTTCACCCTGCCAGTCACTCGATTGGATGACCCGAGAGGAAAAAAAACACACACACAAGACCAAACCTGAATTCTCCTGCTCGCTTGGGCGAGAGCCCAGGGGTTGTATGAAGAGATGTCAGTCTCTATCCCTGGGGGAAAGGAAGAGGCTGATAGAATACATGTTCAATTATGCAAAATGGTTCAGGAATGGGGCAGTCTGGTTAATACTTATCATATTTCTCATGAATGAATTACCATTTTTAAAGGAATCAGGATAGCACAAAACACATTTAACACAAACTAGACTAAACATAAATGAGTCTTACTTTGATAGGACAAAGTATAGACCTATCAAAGGAAGGACAAAATTATAAAGCTCACTGATGACTGTGTAACATAGAAAAAAATTGGGGTTATTTTAGCTTTGGGGTTGTTTCAATTCTAAATTAGTGGGAGCCTGGTTTGGTTCTCATTTTTTACATAAAATTTCTGGGCACTGAGGGCTATGGTCTGCTGTTAGGCTAACGAGCGCCTGGCTTTGTGGAAAGACAGTGGGGTTACTTTGTACGTGGAGGGGGGTGAGACAGATGCCAGGGCTAGAATCCAGATGCAAATGAGAGGCTGCTGGCGAGCTCCGAGGTGCTGTAAATTGCTGAATCAGGGCCCTCTGGTCCTTTCCATTGCCTCACCTCTTTTTAAGGTGGGGGTTCCACTCCCCAAGCCCACATTCCTGTGCCAGGTAGGCAGACACCTGGATAAATGACAGCCAGGTTTCCATACTGTTTCATCAAGACGCTGGGCAGTGGCAGAGGCTGCTGGGGAGGTGGTAAACTCCATGTCTCTCTCTGCCTTGGGCTGCGGACACATGAGATTGCCTTTGCCTGTAGCTTGGGTGATCGTTAGCCATTCTTAGTGGCTTCCACTGCTCCAGCCATCAGGGAGTCAACAGCAGGCAGCTGCCCTCCTCTCCAGGGCAAGAGTCAGGGTTGGCAATTTGAACATTTTAACCAAATTGTTTAAAAAAGCCTTCCTCCCCACAAGCCAGTGCCTCCTGCTCAGCACTGTCACAAACAATTTGGTACATAAGCTAATTCCCGCCAGGCAAGCCCAGAGCGGCAGCTCCCCTCCCTTGAATGTGCTGTGGAAGCTGCGTTCCTGTTGTAAATTCTTGCTGGTCCTCATCAACAGATGGGAAGCTAAGAGACTGCTCCATCCCATGCCCCCATCCCAAAGCCAGTTGATGCTGAGCGCCACTGAGGTTCTCCCTCCCCAGGCCTTCTCCCTCTGGCTCCGTGTTGGTTGACTAGGTTCTGGCTTGGTGCCACTCTACCAACACTGAATCCAATCCTCCTTGGAGGGGGTGGTATACAGGGTGTCACAACGACTACAGCTTTCCTGGTGGAAAAGAGGAACTGTGCTCATGGCTAGTGGAAGAAACAGGCTTTTGGTCTTTTTGTTCTTGCTGGTTGTGGGGTCAAGGGTGACGGTGGGCTGATGGCATTGGGGTCTGAAATCTGCCAGTTGCCAGTCAGTGTGAGATGGCCCAGCTTTAGGCCCATGTCCATCTGGGGGTTGAGACGCAGTGTGCAAAAAGGCCTGGCCCTCTTTGCTTTCCAAACCTCTCTCCCGGGTCCATCAGCTGACTTCCTGCCCTAGGGGTGCAGGGCACTTAGCAGGGCTGCTAAGAGGAAGGCTGAGATGCCTGATCAAATATTTTGACTCTTGT